TCTCCCTCTCTGGATATGAAGTCTCCAACTGCTCCATTTCTCCACGTTATCATCTCTGCCTCTGACTCTGGCATCACTGTTTCTCTGAGTAGGGTCCCACTCTCTGCTCTTCTCCATTGATGGTCCCAGGGACCTCCGCTCCTAGACTGGAAAGTTAATCACTCCCCTCCTTGCTATAGAACGTCTACCTTTACATTTCCAACCCTCACAATTAGTTCTCTGATAATAATTATTCACTGTTGTATCACAAGAGACCTGTCTGCATTTCATTTCATCAACCCCACCCAGACAGATTGGATACTACTAACTGGAGATTCTACCTTCCTCCAGGTCCTCTGGATCTAGGTTCCCTCTTGAAAGCTTGTAAGCCAGTCACTTCTTGCCTTTGTAGGCTCCCCCCGCTCACCCCATTTTGGGTAGTCAATGTCCAAGTTGCCCATCCCTGTCTACTCTGTGTGGAGGGGGCAGGAATGATCCTTGCTGTAAAGATTTATTTCCTCATTTGAGCTACTGCTTCCATAGATGTAGGTCAAGTTCGTCAAGTTGTATCAGATTACTCTTTTTTTTTTTTAACCTCTTCTATCTTCTTGTTTAGCTCTGGTCATCCAGTCATTGAAGCCAGGTCAAGTGGGTATTATATGTGATGACTTTTAAAAAGTAGATTTTCCTAGGTCTGCAGCATTTAAATGGGTTAAGTGTTAGGCTACTGACTGAAACCTGCTCTGCAGAAGAAAGTTGAGGCTGTGTGCTCACATAAAGGTTCATAATCTTAGAAACCCTGTATAGGGTTGCTGTGAGTTGGAATCAACTTGATGACAATGGATTTGACTTTTTGGTTTGGTAGCATTTAAGTAGTTTTGAATCAAATTACTTTTTTTGGGAAAATGAGTTAATTCATGGAGGTAGAGAGCTCTGAAGGTTGTTAGATGGCAGTGGATGCTTATTTTGAGTTAATTTTAAACTATAAGCAACAGTCTGTACATTTGGGTAATCCATAAAGAGATAAGGATTAATTAAAGATGCATATAACCAAAGGGAGTCCTGGTGTGGCACTGTGGGTTAATGCACCAGACTGCAAAGCCATTTGAATGGCAAGGTCAGTGGTTCAAGCTCACCAGCTGCTCCTCGGAAACCCTATACAGGGTCGCTATGGGTTGGAGTCGACTCAGAAGCACTTAACAACAATAACAACATAACCAAAGGAAGCTTAATACAAAACAAACAAACCCACTGTTGAGTCGATTCCGATTCATAGCAAAGTGATTCGATACAGGGTTTCCAAGACTGTAAATCTTTACTGAAGCAGGAAGTCTCATCTTTCTCCTGCAAAGTGACTGGGGATTTGAACTGCTGCACATTGTGATTAGTAGTCCAGTACTTATCCTTCAGTGCCACCAGGCCTCCTTAAGCTTAATAAAGAAAGTATGAATTATGAGCAATATAAAATAATATAAAAGCAGAAAGTTTTGGATACATGCCACTTTTCTATTAAATTGTGTTTATAAATTAATATTTTTTAAAGTATAGTTTTCTTTAGTTGATGAAGTAACATAGTTTTATCCTTAGGAAAATTAAAGTCTTTTACATTTTTTAAGTATACCAGGGGCTTCAAAAAGTCAATGGAAAAATTTCACTATCTTTTAATCCCATTTTTTCCAAGTACCTTTTGAGGCCCCTTTGTTAGGTGAAAAGTGAGCAATAGTTAACTTTTTGCTTCCTGGTACTTGAATGATTGTGAATTTACCATCCTGTGTTGTTTCAGATTTGAAGATCAGCTTCAGCAGTGGTTGTCTGAAGACTCAGAAACACTTACAGATTCAACTTCCCTGCCCCTCTACCTTCCTCAGACTCTCGTGTCTGTGCCTCAAAGTATCCAACAAATGAAAATGTCTATAACCACCAGCCCACAGATCAGAAGAGAAGATATAGTAAGTCCCAGGTTCCCAACAGGCCGACTCCTGCTTGCCCTTTAATGTTATGTAAATTTGCCACCAACTTCTTCATCACAGATCGACTTCACTTGTTGCATGGACAACTGTTAAATCAGAGAAGACTCTGAGCCTGTTCTTGAACTAAAGCATTGCTAAATAAGAACCATATACGTCTGTTCCGACTAACCTACAGGTTCAGTTTAAAGACACATGAACAGATCTGGTTTACAATCTGGAGACTGTCTGTACTTAGCATTTATAGTTGCATTAACAACAGAGATTTATAGTTGCATTAACGATAGAGAGAAGAGGGCTAGGAGGTGAAAAGGACTATTTTGATTTGGTGTATGATATTATGGTGATAATAAGTGAATAGTTTGCTGTTAGGGTTTCTGAGTAGCCACTGGTAGGTTTGAACTGCCAACCTTGTGGTTTGCAGTCCAGTGTTCATCCTATAGCACCACACCAGGAGTCCACGTTAATAGCTTAAATGAGCTTAATCTGCCAGTGCTATAGAGAGCTAACTGAATTTCTGTTTGTAAAATGAACGAAGCACGAAACTGAAACATATTTGAGGTCCGACATAACCTTCACATTGAGCTGAGTGCAGTAAGGGCATAGTTTGTGGCGTGTAGGCTGTCCTGGCTGTGACATCCTTCTAGCCTTCCAGTGGGGACTGATCTTCCCTATGTGTAACACGAGGAAGATCAGCTCACAGAGTCCAGGGCCTCAGCAAGACTGTGCCTGGGCAGTGCAGGGCTGCTCTTCACAGTTAGTCCAGTTGATGCCAAAGTCCAAGGGCTTTCACCCTTTAGAGGTGAAAGGAGCAAAACCAGACTTTTCATTAGAGATCTGTGCTGCTGGGCAGGCACTATGTGAGCCCTGTACTGGCTGTGGGAAATCCCTCAGTCACTGGTGAGAAAAGCAAATGACAGTGACAAATTGTTAATGCTTTTCAAATACCTTCAATGTGCTCAGACCCTTAGAATCACCAATTCTGCTCTGAAGGCACCAACTATTAACAAAAATTAACATATTAAAGTGTTTAAGACAGCATTAATTATACTACATAAAAGTGAAAACAAGCTAAATATTGCCAAACAGGAGTCTGTTTAAATAATTACAATAGATCTTTATAAGATAGAAGAGTATGCATTCCTTGGCAATCATATTTTCTAAGAATGGTTGACACTGGAACTTGCTCATGATGAATCCAAAGAGAAACAGTTCTTGAATATGCTGTGGGAGGCAGGAAGGTAGATGCCAGGATGGCTGGGCCCAGAGTGAGCCAGGTCTTTCTAATGTGAGCCAGGTTTAGTGTCTGTATAGAAAATAGGTCTTGGTGTATTGCTTTCCCAAAACTACTTTTTAAAAAAAGTTTTTTAAATTCAAATAGAACCAAAGGCCAGAAGAGCACCAGCAGCCATCTGAAGTGAGGGGTGTGTCGCTGACTGAGCGGTTAAAACACCTGGAAAGGCTTATCCGGAGCTCCAGGGAAGAGGAGGTCGCCTCGGAACTCCATCTCTCTGCGCTGCTGGACATGGTGGACATTTGAGTACCTGACCTGAGAGGAAGGGTCTCTCAGGAGAGAATCCTGCACTTACTCGAAATAATGTTCTCAGATGCGTTATGCACTGCTGAAAATGTGATTCTTAATCATGCAAATAAACTATTTGAATGCTCAGTGAAGTTACTTCCAGTTTTCAAAATGAAACCGTATTTCCTCCTCTGTGACATCTTCAATATTCTTATTGTTTTCATGATCTCAGTTGTCATCCATAGGTGTCTGCTCTGAAGGAGTGTGCAGCTTCCGTTTCTGCATGTAGCGGTTGTTATTCTTTCAGTGGTCCCTGAGGTACCAGACATCAGTGATGCAGAGATGAAGACTTAGGGATCCCTACCATGTGACAGATGCACTAAGCCAAGTGACTTTGCACATGCCTGTGTCTGCAGAAGAGAGCTTAATTCCTAATGGAGAGAGTACAGGGGTGCAGCTGGGCAGTGTGCTTAAGGGGATGAAAGGATAGTAGAACCCTGAGTTTCACTAGCAGTTACTGTGCAGAGATGGGCATAAATATGAGCCATATTAATAGAAGATAGGGTTCTGGTTTGGCACCAGAGGATAAACATTCAACCTCAAGGTCAGTTTGAACTGCAAGGTCGGCTGTTCAAACTCACCGTCCACTCCTTGGAAGCCCTATACAGGGTTGCTGAGTCAGAACTGACTCAACAGCACTTAACAACAACTAATAGGATCAATTTTATTAAATTAGTATTAATTAAACGAGGACTTGGTGATGTTGAATATCACCACCAATCATAAAGTGACACTCAGTATCCCCTGACTGTAACTTCCCTAAAACTGTCCAAGAAGATGGTTTTATATTCTTTTCAAACTGTCAATATTCTTAGATTTTTGCTTATTCCACTGTGAAAACAGAAGCACTAAGATGAAAAGTTCCTCATCCCACCACTACCATATCCATCAGCCAACCCTTGCTTTCCAGAAGCAAACACTACTATTTTAGGGAATTGTTAAGTGCCATCGAGTCGGTTCCAACTCATAGCCACCCTATATAGGGTTTCTAAGGAATGGCTGATGAGTTTGAACTGCCGACCTTGTGATTCAAATCGACCTTGTGACCCAGTGCTTTATCCCACAGTGCCACACCAGGAATTAAAGAATCTTCAGTGATTAATTTCATACTTATCAATGAAGAATAATGCTACTTAATTACGATTTTAGACATTATTTACTGATTTGCCATAATGGAAGATGATGAGATCTCTTACACTGTCCTCCTTGCAACACAACACCTGCACATACATTTCCTCTCCTAAGTAATCTCCTCAAACAACTTGTAATAATTTTAGGGTTTAAATTCTCATCCTGAGGTTGGTGAACCATATCATTAGCTGCTGAACCCTTTACTGGTTTATGATTATAGTTCCTTTAAGTATAACTTTTTATTTTTCTTGGAGTTAATTGCCTATCCGCCCCCTCCCCCCGCCCCCAATTAGATTAGTCTTCTGTGTTTCTGTCACTACTTCATCCAAAACTCTCTGCCTAAGTGTAAAGTTCCTTCTAACTCAGTCATTTGCATCAGGTAATATGCTAGCTCCACTTTCTCCTGGAGAGGACTCTCCTGAACCCCATCTTTTTTTTTTTTTTTAAATGTTTTATTGTGAATTATGTGATAGTTTACATGGGAGAAAGTTAGTTTTACATATATCCTATTGTACATGATTTCACTGCCATGTGAACCCCATCTTCTTGCCTCAGCCTGGATGTGGTACTCTCTGGTCCTGCTGCTTCCCTTCATTATTAATTACTCATCCAGGAGTACATTGACCTTAAGCACTACCACCACCCTCTCCCCTGATTTCTTGGATCTTCAGTCATATCTTCTCTCTTCTTTAGTTTATTTTCTCATCTTGATGAATCCTCTCCTTAAGTCCTCTAAGCTCACATATCAAAAATAGATTTATTCTTTTCTTATATTTCACTTATTATTTGGGAAAATAGCTAGATTGGAAATCATTTACTTTGTTTTTTGCTGGACATTTTTAAAGACCATCTCTATCCTTGTTGTTAGGTGCCATCAAGTCAGTACTGATTCATAACAACTTTATGCACGAACGGCACGAAAGCTCCCAATTATTGCTGTGCTTGAGTGCATTGCTGCTGCCACTATGCCAATAAATCATCTCGTTGGGGGTCTTCCTCTTTTCACTGACCCTCCACTTTATCACATATGATGTCCTTCTCCAGGGACTGGTCTCTCTTGAAGTATGGCTTAAGTATGACAGATGAAGTCTGGCCATCCTGGTTTCTAAGGAGCATTCTGGCTGTACTTACTTCAGTACAGATTTGTTGGTTCTTTTGGCAGTCCCTGGCACTTTGAATATCTCCTTCAACACTGTAACTCAAATGCACACAACATTGTGCTTGTTGTTTTCACACTTCTCTGCCAATTTATTGTGTTAGACACTTAATGCTTTGTTTTATTATTGCTTTATAAAACAATTACCCCAAACCTAGTTGCTTTATTTTGGGAGTGACTCAAGAGAAAGCAGGACAGCTTTCTCTTGAAGTTGCAATTGCAGTGGCTATGTGCCCTGTCTATATGGCTTAGCATCCTCACACCATGGTGGCTTTGGTGTAGTCAGATTTCTTATCTACCATCTTGGGCTCCAAGTGCAAGTGCCCTAGTGAGCCAAGTGAAAGCTGCAAGTGTTGTTAGGACTGTCGAGACAGTTCCGACTCATAGAGACCCTAAACACAACAGAAAGAAACACTGCATGGTCCTTTGCCATCCTCACAATTGTTATGCTTGAGCCCATTGTTGCTGTCATCGTGTCAATCCATCTTGGTCGTCTGCTTTTTTGCTGATCCTCCACTTTACCAAGTATGATGTCCTTCTACAGGGACTGATTCCTCCTGAGACTATGTCCACAGAAAGATGAAGTCTCATCATCCTTACTTCAGAGCACTCTGGCTGATGTACTTCTTCCAAGATAGATTTGTTTCTTCTGGTAGTATGCAGTACTTTCAATATTCTTTGCCAACATCATCAGTCAATTGTATTGATTCTTCAGTCTTCCTAATTCATTGTCCACTTTTCAAATGTGTATGTCTTTTGATTTCTTTACTGCTGCTTTCATGAGTATTAATTGTAGAAACAAGCAGAATGAAGTCTTGGACAACTTCATTTTTACTCTGTGTATCATGATATTGGAATCCTAGTGTGGTGTTGTGGGTTAAAGTACTGGATTGCAAGATTGTTTTGAACCACAAGTTAAGCGGTTCTAACTCACTAGCTGCTCTTTGGAAACCCTCTACAGGGTTGCTATGAATTGGAACTGACTTGACCGCACTTAACAACAATGATGTTATTTATTGGTCCAGTTGTGAGGAATTTTGTTTTCTTTACATAGAGGTGCAATTCATACTGAAGGCTAGCTATCATCTTTGATCATTAGTAAATATTTCAAGTGCTCATTGCTTCCAGCAAGTAGAGTGTCATCTGCATATCACAGGTTGTAAATAAGTTATCCTCTGACCAGGATACCACATACTTCTTCATATAATCCAGCTTCTCTGATTATTTGTTCAACAGATAGACGGAATAAGTATGAAAGGATACAACCCTGACACATACCTTTCCTGATTTTAAACCATTCAGTATCCTCTTGTTCTATTCAAATGACTGCCTCTTGGTGTATGTACTGCCTCTTAATGAGCACAAATAAGTGTTCTGAAATATCCATTCTTCACAATGTTATACAGTTTGTTATCCAGAGCTGAATGCCTTTGCATAGTCAATTTATTGCACAAGTAAACATCTTTCTTGTATCTTGCTTTTAGTAATGATCCTTCTGATGTCAGCAATGATATCCCTAGTTCTACATCCTCTTCTGAATCTAGCTTGAACTTCTGGCCGCTCCCTATCGATGTATTGCTGTAACCGTTTTTGAATTATCGCCAGCAAAATTTTACTTACCTGTGATATTAATGATACTGTTTGATGGTTTTTACATTTTCTTGGGTCACCATTCTTTGCAATAGGCACAAATATGGTCAGGTAGCTGTCTTTCAAATTTCTTGGCATAGATGAGTGAGTACCTACAGTACTGCATCGGTTTGTTGAAATTTTTCAATGTGCATTCCATTGATTTCTGGAGCTTTGATTTTTGCCAGAGCCTTCTGTACATCTTGGACTTCTTCCTTCAGTGCCATTGGTTCTTTATTATGCTATCTCTTGAAACAGTTGAGCATCAACTAATTCTTTTTGGTACAGTGACTGTACTTCCATCTTCTTATGATGGTTCCTGTATTATTTAGTGTTTTGCCCTTAGAATCCTTCATTATTGCAACTTGAGGTTTAAATTTTTTTTTTTAGTTTTTTCAGCTTGAGAAATGCTGGGCATGTTCTTCCCTTTTGGTTTTCTAACTCAAGGTCTCTGCACATTTCATTATAATACTTTATCTTTTGAACTGCCCTTTGAAATCTGTTCAACTCTTTTCCTTCCTCATTTCTTTCAGTTGCTTTAGATTCTCTATGCTCAAGAGCAAGTTTCTGAGTCTCTTCTGACATCCATTTTAGTCTTTTCTTTTTTCAGCTTTTTATTGTGGCTTGAGTGAAGGTTTACAGAGCAGATCATGTTTTATATCCAACAAATCATATACTTTGCTTTGTTACATATTTACAATGCCCTCTGTGTACCAACAATTAACAGCATTTACCTGTATTTTAACTTTTGTACTCTTCCCTGTGTCTCCTGCTACCTTCATCTTTCTACTGCTAACCTCCCTCTTGTTGTATATTGCCTGCCTTGTCACCTATTGTAACATGTCTATACTGTAACCTATTAATAAATTTTCCTATTACAGATTGTAGCTTTTACCAAGAGAACCTTTTTTTTTTTTTAAACTTTTTATATTTGTCTCATGCAATGTTTGTCCTTCTGTGATTGACTAATTTCACTCAGCAAAATGTCCTCCAGGTTCAACCATGTTGTGAGTTGTTTAACTGATTCATCATTATTTTTCAA